TATATCGTTGTGTTTGTCTGCTCTGTCTCTGTGTGCGTGCGTGTGTGCGAGTTTTTTCTTTTCTTCGTGCTTCTGTATTTGTGTGTGGGGGGGGGGGGTATTGTATAAGTGGTGTATTTCATTGCATTGCCCACTGAGTGAATAGTATAATGTTTGTATACTGTGTTGTTTGATTGTCAGTTGTCTACGGGCTTGAATATTCTACCTTTTTTGCGATAGATTGTGACAAGTTGGCTGTTTCTTTAGGAGTAGTTCTTCTTTGTATCGAGATGGATTTGCCTATTCGTATGTGTGGTCCATCGTCTCGAGTGAGTGTGGGTGAGAATATCCTTGTCGAAGCTATGTCACTGCATGTCAATACATCCATAAACATATATGGTGGGGATGTGTGTTTCGTCTTAGACAGTGCTACCATTGAGAGGCCATTTATGCTCCGTTCATTTTCTCTCAACAAATATCACATTGCACTGAGGTTCAGTCGTTGATTTCGATGTCATTGTGTGTTGGTCTGCCTTTAGGTAAGAAAGAGCCGTTTGTCAACATGAGTCAGATGATGTACGACTCTGTCATCCGAGACCTGCTGCTCGTGCGGCAGTACCGCGTGGAACTGTACGCAAAGGAGGGTAAGCAGCCGTGGACACTGCACAAGAAGGTATGACCTCGGCAACAAGCGTTTACGTTCTAGCGGTGCAAATGTAGCACACAATAGTCTATACCTCATTCCGAGAGGATTTAGGTATCTATAGTCTATCTTACTTTGATTGCACCGCTGGTGTGGCAGTGAAACGCAGTGGCAATATAACCTGTAGTCAAAAATGGTCTATGTTTTGTTCAGAGAATGGTAAGGTATGTGTGATCGTTGTGGGGAGTCTTCGGTGGTATTTGCACAGCCGGCAATGGCAGTGAATCGCAATGGCAAAATATGCTGTTGTTGTGGACATAACATTCTGTCAGTGCTGACTTATAATTCGACCTATCAAGCTGTTTTAGTAGTCTCTTTCTGCTTCCATTCGATGGAAGTGTTGACTGTAAAGTGTATCACTATGTTCGACGTGCCTTTGCCACAACTCGCGTTAAACCAATTTGTAGAAATCTGACTACGGCAGGAAGTGTACTAAACAGGGCGTTTGCCTTTTGGGTTGATGGGGTGGCAATTTTTGCTTCAATGTTTACTATCTATGTGACATGCATGGGTGGTGTATTCATCAAGATTGTTGCTTAGAGGGTACATGGACAGTTGATCCTTTCCGTCATCAAGAGTGTCACACATATACACAGACAGTTGTACACTTGTACTCATTGAAAGGCTACTAATGCTGCATAATACACGCCCGCCATTCAGGGTACCCCGGGGAATCTGCAAGACTTCGAAGACGAGGTGTTTGTGGGGGGCGATCAGTCCAATTCTGCTGTAGTCGTTGCGGTCAAGTTGAAGATGAAAGATGGCATCAGGGTGAGCTATTAATATCTGTTAGTCGTGATAATTGGATGAACTGGTTTGTACGCCTTGCTGTAACCACTTATTTACATACGTACAGCTTGGGTATTCGCACGAGAGCACAAAATACTTCAGTGTTTAAATACGTGTCACTTTTCTAGTCTTGTGATGAATTTCCTGTATGATTTTGAGCTCGATTGAATACAGGCCATGATATGTCTGCTTCTAACACATAAAAAAAACATTGTCCTAATTCCCAATCTTTTCATCAGACCGTCGGTGTGGCGTACGGAGACGCCACTCAGCGCAAATTGGGTACGTGCGAGTTTTTGGACAATGATCAGTTCTCAAATCTGGAGGCGCTTATAGTACAGTTAGGGGCGAAGGAGTGTTTGCTGGCTACCGAAGCAAGCAACCCTGATTACGTTAAGATGGCGAAGATGATTGATCGCAGTGGCATGATGATCACAATCAGGAACACAACCGAATTCAGTGTCAAGAATATTGAGCAGAGCTTGGACAGGTAACGGTTGCGACATGCAAGGGGTGTTTATGTCTTAGTGACCTGAGAAGGCGATGGCGCTGTGGGTCTGAGTCTAAATAGGCCTATTTTAAAGTCTACACGAATGTAGCGCATGGTGGGCGGATGAGTGAATGTGTAGGAGGGTATGAATTGATCTGCAGCCCGTACAACCTACTGGTTGTATCAATGTGGTCTGATTTCCATTCAACTGTGAGATTTTGTATGTATCTATATGTACGACCACCTCTTTAATAGTAAGAATGTTACCGAGCTGTGCAGAGTATACTGAAAGAGTGCATATCTCCGACGCATGGGTTATTTTGACAGTATCTGTGCCGAAGTAAGATCAGTATATTCGTGTGCCTTCTATACGGAGGTGTGGGTGCTCTTATACATGTTTACAGCGTGTATCATTAGCTATACGTTCACAGCAGAGTACCATCGAACAGCATGATTACCTACCCAGTGCATTCCACCCTTTCTCTGAAGATGGGCACAAAAACCCGTTCGAAATCATCAAAAAATGGATTTCCCGACTATCGACTCTGAATGCTGGAGTCTAGTATTTGAAGTCGCTCGGTATTACTTTCATATATATATA